GCTCCTACCAACGCCAATCGTCGTCATATGACGCGCGCAGGCCACGCCCAGTGTGATGGGATAACAGCAGGGAGGAGGACCTCCTCACCCGTCCTGGAGGTCGGAGTCCTGCTGAAACCGGAAGTGTAGGAGCCGATGCTGCTGAACTACAAGTGTTGCTTTGGATCTGTAACTCAAGTATAAAAATACACAATCAGACCAAAAGGTGTCGTAATAAACTTTATTTGAACATAAAGACGTGACAGATGAAGCTGCTTTGTGTTAACAAGAGTTAAAACTCAACATTTCAAATAAAAATGAGAAATGCCTTTTAAACATGAAAGATGATGTATTTCATGTTTGGTCCGTGCTAAACACGCCCACTCAGCATCAGTCAACAGCTGATTGGCCCCTCCCACTCCTGTCCCTGACCTGAGACAGCCCTCTGGTCTTGGCCTTGGTGGAGGTTGGTCTGACAGTTGGACAGGTGTGGGCAGGTGTCTTTTACATGGATAAAAGGTAGGAAGGGTCTTGCTCAAGGACACAACAGCAGCCGGACACCGGGATAGATCATGCAACCCTCCAGTTACTGAACAAATTACCCTGAGCTGCTGCTGCCCCTTTGTGTGTGTTTTATCTATCCACATGAACCCTGATGGACCTAATCGGTTGGGTAGACTACAGGCTTGTCTTGAGGACATAAAAAATTGGATGACTCTAAACTTTTTGCTTTTAAATCAAGACAAGACGGAAGTTCTCATCTTTGGACCAGAAATCCAGAAAAGGAAACTGCTTAGCCAATCACCTGACCTGAATGGCATTACATTAATCTCTGAGAACAAAGTAAGGAACCTTGGTGTTATCTTTGACCAGGACATGTCATTCAAATCCCAGGTTAAACAGGTTTGTAGGATTTCCCTTTTCCACCTTCGGAATATTGCTAAGATTAGAAGCATCTTTTCCAGGAGTGATGCTGAAAAACTAGTTCATGCATTTATTACATCAAGACTGGATTACTGTAATTCATTACTCTCAGGAAGTCCACAGAATGTAGTTAAAAGTCTTCAGCTTGTCCAAAATGCTGCAGCTAGAGTTCTGATGAGAATTAAAAAGAGAGATCATATCTCTCCTGTCTTAGCTTCCCTACATTGGCTACCTGTTAAATTCAGAATAGATTTTAAGATCCTTCTTCTCACATATAAAGCTCTTAATAATCAAGCTCCATCATACATCGACTAGCACACTGCTGCTAACCACTTAAACATTCTCCCTCTCCTGATAATAACTTTTTACTTTCCTTGACGTTGGATGTGCTACTACTAGTTTATCCGTTTAATTATAGATCCACTAGGATAAATACAATAAAGTTTATCTCTCACCAAATAGAATATTTACTAAGACATCACAATATAACTGTAGACACATTACGTGTGTGTGTGTGTGTGTGTGTGTGTGTGTGTGTGTGTGTGTGTGTGTGTGTGTGTGTGTGTGCGCGCACTATGAATAAGACCCATGGACTTTATTATATCATACGTGTAAACTCCCTCAGCAAACATACCCTAGTTGAGCATCAGATACACTCTGAAACCTTTTTGGCCCCTTTTGCTTTCCCACAGAGCTCAAGGTGCACGGCTGTTTCTGTAAACACAGACTTCATAAGGAAACTACCATGAAACTGATGAAAGAACCAAAGAGATGTGGATCAAGTGCGTTACAATAGAATAGAATAGAATAGAATAGAATAGACTTTATTTGTAATTGCTCATGGCCGTTACATTTGGGATGGTCGGCCATCAGCAGTAAATATCAAAACCATAGAGGACTAAAAAGAATTGAAAACATTTAGCAGAACAACCCGGTGGTTCAGGTCTGCTAAACCAGCAGCACAAGAGGGTTTAAACACAGATTAGTCCACATTACTGACGGGGAGGGGGGGTTGAACGTTCTGACGGCCCACGGGAAGAAGCTGCTGGAAAGTCTGGTGCTACGTGATGTAATTGACCTGCAGTGGCGCCCTGAGGGCAACAGGTCAAACAGACAGTTGGTAGGGTGGGTGGGGTTCACGGAGGATGGTGGGGTGGAACCATTAGTCCGGTCTTCCTGTCCTCAGCTGTGGAGCCTGGAGACCACACTCAGAGAAGGTGAAGGTGCTCTCCAGGGAGCAGTGGTGGAAAGCCAGCAGCAGCTTCTGATCCAGGCCACACCTTCTCTTTACTCAGTGCTTCACTGTCTTTTGATAAAGTAAAGCTGCTGCTTTGGTCCCTGGCTAGATGGGCTGGGGTCTCCATGTCCCGGGTGGGGTTTAGGAATGGGGGTGCCTGTTGGGGCCAGTGGGGGAGCTGGCTCCCTGGAGGTTTTAGGCCCCCAGCCTTTCCTCCCCATCCTCAGGCTTGTCCCTCCTCCTTACCACAGATTGCATTCTGTCAGCATGCAGCACCACTCTGGTGCAGGCGGAGGAAAACTAAGGGTCTTCTCAAACCTCTGTTGTCGGTTTGTCGCCTGGGGCTGGAGGCTAGGAGTGGGAGGTGGGTCTCTTTGCTCTGCGTTGGGCGGGGATGCTGCTCATCAGTAAGAACGGGACCAGCTCTGGCGTCCGGGCATGGTTGTGCCCTCCGTGCAGCAGTACTGGGACCAGAGTGAGTAGGGTGTGTGTGGGAGTGTAGCTCTGTGTAGCTAGCAGCCAACAAGCAAATAAAGCAAAAACAAGGTTTTATATCCATACGTGTGAGAATCCCAGCATCAGGAAACGGCTGCGGTTCAAGAAAAATAAAGGATGAGCAAAATTCCAATTTAGAAATAAACAGAATGAAATGATGAGAATATAGGGAGGCAGCAGTTAGAGAAGCAGCTACTTTATACAAGTCAGTGTAGGTTCTGGTCAGAGCGGGTCAGTTCAGGTCACAGGGTCATGTGACTGGAACCAAGCAGCTGGAGTGGGCGGGTCTACGATTGTCGTTCATGAGTCCGACAGCAGAGGGGAAGAAACGGTTCTTGTGGTGAGAGGTTCTGGTCTGACTGGATCTGAGCCTCCTGCCAGATGGGAGCGAGTCAGAGAGACTGTGTCCAGGGTGAGACGGGTCAGCTGTGATCCGACCTGCACTACTCAATGACCTGGAGGTGTACAAGTCCTGTATGGAGGGGAGTTAGCAGCCAATGACCTTCTCAGCAGAGGGTACAACAGGCTGCAGCTTCTTCTGGTCCCTGGTGGTGGCTCCAGCGTACCACACGGTGATGGAAGAGGTGAGGGTGACTCGATGACTGCGGTGTAGAACCGCCTCGTCCACTGTGCTGATAGTCAAGTCAAGTTTATTAACTAGCCCATTTCATACACAACGGTAGCCCAATGTGCTGCACATAGTTAAAACAACCCCAGCTTTAAATGTCACATCATGTTATGTATAAGAGTGTTGATACGGAACATCGTACACGAAAATAAAAGCATTCAAAGTAAAAACTTTACTAAAAATGATAAAACAACAACAAAGCTGCACAGACTAGTTATAAGTTCCAAAAACACATAGAATAAATTTAACCACACAGGTAAAAGCCTAGTCGACCACGGATAGGTTCATGGAAGGCATCATAAAAGTTTGGTTTTTAATCTGGATTTAATGGGAATGGTGGGAGAGGTCTTCATGTCTATTGGAAGACAGTTCCAGAGACGGTCCACATAGCAGCTAAAGGCAGCCTCTCCGTGCTTGGTGCGGGCTCTGGGTTGTACCAATAGGTATTTTTCTGCTGAACTAAGTGATTTAGAAGGCCAATACAAACATCTCTGCTATAAACCGTGGTCCTTGGCTATTTAATGATTTAAAAGTATGTAAAAGGACTTTAAAATCAATCCTGTAAGTTACTGGTAGCCAATGCAAAGATTTTAGGATTGGTGTGATGTGATCTTCGCTTTTGGTTCTGGTCAATAGCCTTGCTGCTGCATTTTGGATCATTTGAAGAGGTTTTATTGTTTTTTTTAGGGAGATCAGTGAAAAGACCGTTGCAGTAATCCACCCTGCTTGTGATGAAAGCATGAACGAGCTTTTCTAGGTCTGCAGGTGATGTGAAGTTTTTAACCTTTGCAATATTTTTAAATGATAAAAAGCTGACTTTGTGACTGCCTTCATGTGGCTGGGGTAGCTTAAGTCGCTATCAATGATGACCCCATGGTTCTTTACGGTTTCTGCTACTTCAAAGCCTTTCAGTCTCAACAGTGTGGCGGTCTTTAGTCTCTGGTCCTTCCTCCCAAATATAATTACTTTAGTTTTGTCTGTATTAAGTTTAAGAAGATTTTTTGACATCCAATCTTGAACTTCATTGAGGCATTGATAGAGGGATTCAAGGGGAGCAAAGTTATTGGAAGACAGGGAGAGATATAGCTGTGTGTCGTCTGCATAACTATGATAACCAATGGAGTGGTTCTTTATGATTTGGCCGAGCGGAAGCATGTACACATTAAACAAAAGAGGGCCAAGGATTGAACCCTGAGGGACACCACATGTTAGGCATGTCGGAGCTGAGGCATGATGACCGATAGACACATAGAAACTCCTATGCTCTAAATAGGACTTTAGCCAGCAGATGACCAATCCAGAAAAACCTCCACAGCATTCAAGTCTTTCTATTAGTATGCTGTGGTCAGCAGCATCGAACGCTGCACTGAGAGCCAAGAGCATGAGAACAGTTGTTCTCCCCGCATCATTACTTAATCGAATGTCGTTGACTACTTTCACCAGGGCAGTTTCAGTACTATGGTGTTGTCTAAAGCCTGACTGGTAGAGATCAAGACAGGAAGTAGAAGTTAAGAAAGCAGACAGTTTGTTAAAAATAGATAGGTTGAATTTCTTCAGCTGCATCAGGAAGTTAATTTCATTTATTTATAAAGCCCCTTCTGCGACCATTGCAGACACCCAAGGTGCTGAACACAACACAATAAAAACATAAAACCATCAGAATAAAATATTGCAATTGTAAAACCAGCATAAAATCAATTAAAAGAGGAAAGTAAAAGCAAAAAATAAAACCCAGAA